TGGCTACATTAGGGGTGTGTGGCCTAACATGCAAAGGAGTTTCTGCTACAAAAAAAGCTCTGGGTTTTGACAACAAACAAGGTAAACAGAAGAAGAAGCAAAAGGTGGGCGTGGTTGGATGACCACACTTCTGGTAACACATGGGGTGTGGCCTAATATGCTAATGAGCAGTGCTGTCGTGGGTGTGGCCTAATATGCTAATGACTTCCTGCTTTTGGGTGTGGCCTATTATGCTAATGAGTTCCTGCTGGGCTTTTTCTACAAAAAAAAGCCCTGCACACACCATTTGGTTTGCTCCGGTGAACAGCCCAGGTCTTTGGTTGGTGCAAACAGGGCCGCATTGGAAAGGACTTTGGGAGGGGGGATTTTGGAGGGGGGGATTTTGCTCTGATGACCTTTGTCTCCCAGCTTTTCCACACCCTTTGACTGGCTCTGAGTGCTTTCCCAGTGGCCGAAACCGGGAATTAATTGCTAGCCTTCCACTCAAGGGAGCTCTTCTTCTGTACATTCTAATAAGCTTATGCGGTCTGGGATTACAGAAGGATTTTAGCTTCCTTTCCAGGCAGGACCGAACATGACTCACCTAGGCAGAACCGGCAAGGTGGCTTTGAGAGTCGATGTCAAAGGGAAAGAAGGAAACAGAAGCAAAGTGGTAGGCTGGGAAGACCGGACTGAGAACAAATCGTCTTCCCGATCGTAGCCTAGAGAAGTGTGATCCAGGCTTCCTTCTTAAGTTGCTGAGTGAGTGGAGAAGATTACAGCATTGCACGGGGGTTGGGGAGGGGGCCGTATAATACAGGAGAAAATCCTGCTTCATTATAAAAATATAAAGATGCTTTAAGATACATTTTTTTTTTAAGGAAAGTGTTTTGACATGTGGGTCTTTGGCATGCTTTAAACCCAGCCTGCAGATTTTGCAGCTGAGGCGTTTCAAAAAAGCTCCTCCGTTCTGCAGCGTGGCCTCCCACAACAGCTCTGTCTTTGCAAGCTGAAAGCGAACAGACGGCATTCTGTCATCTGGTGGTTTGTGTGGACAGGCTGCACCGTGCCTGGTGGCTCGCACAATTGTGCAGGCCTTTTGGGAACTAACTTCTGTTTCTGGGCTGAAGGCTGTAATACAGAGCAAATAACTGGGTGAGATCTTGATCAGGCTTCCCCGAGTTACACCAACCAAGTGCAAGTATGGTAGCCTTCGGGCTCTCGGTGTCGAACTCATTTGTTACAAGGGCCGGATCTGACATAAATGTCATTTTGTCGGGCTGGGCCACATATGCCATAAAATGTAATGCCAGGTACTGGAGACAGAAACTTTATAAAGGACACAGGCAAACCCAATGAATGATATTATTTTTCACTCAAAATATTAACATGCTTAAAGCATTAACGCTCTTCCAGGGTTTCCTTAAAGTATCTCCATGATGCACACCCTCCCACTTTCCACTGCCCATTACGCATTAGCACTGGGACAGTATACAGGGACATAATGCACAGTCTCTGTCATCTGGCAATAAAGGTAATGGCCAGTTACTCTCGGGCCGGATAAAAGCCCTGGATGGGCCGGTTTTGGCCCGCGGGCCATATGTTTGACTCCTCTGCAGGGTCTGGTCTGGGATGGAACCCTTGTGTTTCTAATTCCACATTCAGTCTGTATACACACAAGTTCGGATGCATGGATGACCGAACAAGTACTGACTAAGCTCAGTTTTGTAGCCCCTGTTTGTTTGGTAAAGGTGGGGGGGAATTACAGCAGAGCCAGTTTGGTGTAGTGGTTAAGTGTGCGGACTCTAATCTGGGATAACTGGGTTTGATTCCCCACTCCTCCACTTGCACCTGCTGATGTGACCTTGGGTCAGTCACAAGCTCTGGCACAGCTGTCCTTGAAAAAGAGCAGTTTGTGTCAGAGTTCTCTCAGCCCCACCCACCTCACAGGGTGTCTGTTGTGGGGAGGGGAAGGGAAAGGAGTTTGTAAGCCGCTCTGAGACTCCAAGTGAAGGGTGGGGTATAAATCCAATCCTCCTCCTCCTCCTCCTCCATCTTTGGGATGGGGGTTAGGGATAGTGTTAAATAGTGGGTTCCATGGATGGCAGGAGCACATCTCAAGTGTTCAGCTCAGCTTTATTTGTGATTCCAGCAAGCAAAAGACAAGACTCCAGAGCCTCAACTCTGTTAAATAGCTTGCAATTGCCACACCCAAACACACCCCACTCCCAGTGATAGGCTATTTACATAACATTACTACTTGACTGGTTACTTTCAGAGTCCTGGTAGGCTATTGCTCTTGTGCCTCAAGCTCAGCCAGTCTCTGGGGTGATTCCATCAGGAATGATTCAATCCCAGTACATAACAGATAGGAAGAATATGTCCCATAAAAGATGTTCACCACAAAGTTCTGAATGTACTTTTCAGTGTTCCTTCTCATTTTAAACCCACTCTCCTTCCAGGGAGCTCTCCCTGCTCCATTTTATCTCCTCGCAGCAAGCTTCCAAATCAGCCATCCCGGGCTTAATCAAGATCAAGGATAACTGGGTCACTACCAGTGTTTCTGTTGCTAGTGTCAAACGATTTGAAAAATGTCCTTGGACTCGCCTTATCTAGTTCTGCAGATAGCCTAGGAACAATGCAAATGCTGTTTTGATGTACAAAGCTAAATCATCGGCAATGCAAATGTTCTTTTATAGCTTGTGACTTGGCTTTCTGCAGAGCAGGAGTCCCCGACCATTTCGAGCCTGCGGGCGCCTTCAGAATTCTGATACCGGGCAGTGGACACAATCACACAATGGCTGCCACAGGAGGCAGAGCAAAACACAGAATGTCAGAGAGCAGAAGTCTCTGTTTAGCGGGATGCAGGGGGGTTTTTGTACAGAAAGCCCAGCAGGACCTCATTAGCATAATAGGCCACACCCAACATCAGAAATGCATTAGCATATTAGGCCACACCCCTGACAGAGCAGCTTATTAGCCTGTTAGGCCGCACCCCCCATGTTACCAGAAGGGTGCTCATCCAGCCACCTTTTGCTTCTTATTCTGTTTACCTTGTTTGTTGTCCAAACCCAGAGCTTTTTTTGTAGCAGGAACGCCTTTGCATGTTAGGCCACACACCCCTAATGTAGCCAATCCTGATGAGTTCCTGCTGTTGGGTGTGGCCTATTATGCTAATGAGTTCCTGCTGGGCGTGGCCAACTTGGGAGCCAGCCGGAACTCCGTTCCTGTGTGTTCCTGCCCAAAAATAGCCCTGCCTGTACCTCATTGGAGACTGGTGAGAACCAGAACCACCCTGCCCTCCAAATCTGCCATGTCCTCCAGCGAAACTGATCTCCTTAGTCTGAAGATTAACTCTAACTCCAGGAGATCTCTAGGTGCCACCTGGAGGTTGCCAACATTAGTCCGGGGCAGCGTTCCCTCTAAGCCGAGTTCGTGTGAGCTAGCTCACAGTTTTTAAGCCTCCGGCTCGCACATTCTTTTTGTCTCCGCTCAGGAAGGATGGCTCCAGAGCGAACGACTTTATGCGGCGGCCAAATCGCTCGCTCACCACTTTCACGCCAGTAGCTCACGAAGTAGAATTTTTGCTCACAAGACTCCCCAACTTAGAGGGAGCATGGGGGGGGGGCGAAAAGGGAGCGAGGGAAAAGGAGGCGGATGTGTCGAGAGGAAGCCCTGATGTAGGAGCTTGAGTGGGAAGCGGTCTGCCTCTTCAACGACTCCCTCGGACAATTGGTTCAGACAGATGGCAGCGGATTAGCGGAGAAGAAAACCAGGCAGTGGCTCTTGCAGCTCTGTGGGAGCAGGGAGATCAAAAGCTCCAGGCCGAAAGGGGTGGGAGGGAGAACAGGCGACGAGGCCGAGGCCTGCTGGCAAAGGGGGGCGTGGGAGAAATACAGCTGCATGCCTTTCGGTTCCCACTCTCAGCAAACCGGCTGCAGTGGGGACTTCCAGATACTGTGGCGCAAGCTCAGTGGGTCCGCAGGTGTCCTCTTAAAATGGAACAGAGGACGTCCTGCAGGCTAGAGTGGATGATGCGGTCCCAGGTGCAGAACAGCTTTTCGGATTGCGCGATGCTTTCCGGGACAGAGGAGGAGAGAGAGAAAGAAACGGCATGCTCTTCCTCTGTGGATCTCCAAAAAAAACCCACAACCCATTTCCGCAGTAGTGACATTCCCCACATTGACGTTTTTAAAACTGTGTGTTATGTGAAATTTTCTGCAGTAAGTTTTCCCCTCAACAGGCACAAACCTGAAGTTTTCTCCTTCTTACCCTGCATTTTTTGAATCCCCAGTTTTAGTGAGTTCCGAAATGCATGGTAAGAAGGAGAAAACGTTGGGTTTGCGCCTGGTAGGAAAAATTCACAAGTATCTCTGTTTTCAGCTGGGACATCTTGGAGATAGATAGATAGATAGATAGATAGATAGATAGATAGATAGATAGATAGATAGATAGATAGATAGATAGATAGATAGATAGATAGATAGATACGGGGGTCATTTCCTGCAGGAACACACAGGAGCGGAGCTCCGGCAGTAAGGAGCCCAGGGGGTGAGCACATGCAACAAGCCCCACCCCCTGCTGCCAGCAGCCCTCAGTCGGGCCATGGGGAGCAAGAAGCAGCCGGGTAAGTTGCAGAGCCCAAGCTCTCCCTCCTCTGTGACGGAAGTTCTGCGTGTCCCCCCCCCCCATAGCTAGCAATCCAAAAGACCAAGTTTTATTCAGGTAGAAGCTCTCCCTCCTCTGTGATGGCAGATCTGCACGTTCCCCCCCCCATAGCTAGCAATCCAAAACAGTCCAGTGGAGCCTGAGCGGTAGGTGTTGCCTTCTGACACACTTCCGGTGACGTCAGGGGTGTGTGGCCTATGCGAATATGTTATGCTAATAAGCTATGCTAATGAGCTCCTGCACCTCTTTCTCTACAAAATGACCCCTGAACACCAATAAACCAAATGGACCACCTCTGGGTCTCATCTCTGGAAATCCCTCCTCTCTCCAGGTCCGGCTCCCTTCATGCCGCCATGTCGCTGCTTTTGCTGGACGAGACAGCAGGGGACATCCCGGTCCGGGACACCACCCAGAAGCCTGCGGTGATAGCAGCCATACAAGGTCAAGACTCGGGGCGTCAAGGGGTGGTGTTGGGGTGTCGCAGCTACAGCCATGCAGTTAGCCGATAAACGATCCTGAGCCGGATGGCCAACCTCCAGGCGGGATCTAGCGTCCTCCCCACATCACAACTGATCTCCAGACTGCAGAGATTAGTTCTCCTGGAGGAAATGGCTGCTTTGGAGGGTGGGCTACGGCACTGTACCCCACCGAGAATGTGAAATCTGCACGACACTTAGTGATATTTGTAACATTCAATGTGTCATCTGTAAATCATATTTATGTGGTGCTCAGATGTGCACCTTGGGTTCCTTGCTGCTCATGTTTATTATTGTTGTTGTTGTTGTCCTTAAGTGTGCGGACTCTAATCTGGAAGAACCGGATTTGACTCCCCACTCCTCCCCTCGCAGCTGCTGGATGACCTGGGGCAAGCCATAGTTCTGTCAGAGCTGGTCTTGAAAGGGCAGTTTCTCTCAGAGCTCTCTCAGCCCCGCCTATCACACAGGGTGTCTGTTGTGGGGAGGGGAAAGGAAAGGAGTTTGTAAGCTGCTCTGAGACTCCAAGTGAAGGGCGGGGTATAAATCCAATCTCCTCCTCCTACCTCCTCTTCTTCTTCTTCTTCCTGAATTTCCAACTTCTTCTCCTCCTTCTGCCTGAATTTCCAACTTCTACTCCTTCTTCCTGAATTTCCAACTTCTTCTCCTTCTTCCTGAATTTCCTCCTTCTTCTCCTTCTTCCTGAATTTCCTCCTTCTTCTCCTTCTTCCTGAATTTCCTTCTTCTTCTCCTTCTTCCTGAATTTCCTCCTTCTCCTTCTTCTTCTCCTTCTCCTTCTTCTTCTCCTCCTTCTCCTCCTTCTCCTTCTTCTTCTTCCTGAATTTCCAAATCCCTGCAATAGCAGGGCTCTGGCCGATGTACAAAGCCATAAAATCAATTAAAACGTTCATAAAACATATCGTCAATCAGATGGGGAATGCAAAATGTGGGAATGCAGAGGACGACAGTCTGTGTGCTTACTGATGGCTTCCCATGCCGCAAGATGCAAGCACGAATGTGGCCCTTCTGTCCAGTGTGGGGGATAATCCTGGTCTGCAACTTTCCCCCCCTTTAGATGTGTCGTCTTCCACTCGCTTTCTCGCCAAAGCCCCTCCTCTGAAGGCCTCAGTGAAAGGTGAGCATTTGGAAACCGCAGGTTTCACTATCTTCATCACATCCAGCCTTCGTGGCGACAACAACAGAATAGTAAGTGGGGTGAACGCCAGATCCCCAACACACCACAAAGAGGCTGGGGGCTCTGGGAAGGTGTCATGCCTCCCACCCAGCAATCCCCACCCAGATCTGGAGCTGTCCTTTTCGGTGTTTGATATAGATCAGGATACCCCATGGTGCTTCCCATTGATACCTTTTCTGGTGCCTACCAAGTATCTTAAGAAAGGGGGCGGTTCCAGGTGGGACTCCTGCCCAGCAGGTCTTCTGATTGGCCACTGACGATCTGATTGGCTGTGCAGGGAGTATACACCAGTTTGGTGTAGTGGTTAAGTGTGTGGACTCTAATTTGGGAGAACCGGTGTTTGATTCCCCTCTCCTCCACTTGCAGCTGCCGGATGACCTTGGGCAAGCCATAGTTCTGACAAGAGCTGTCCTTGAAAGGGCAGTTCTCGAAAGAGCTCTCTCAGCCCCTCCTACCTCACAGGGCGTCTGTTGTGGGGAGCGGAAGGGGAAGGAGTTTGTGAGCCGCTCTGAGACTCCCTTGGGTAGTGAAGGGAGGGGTACAAATCCAATCTCCTCCTCCTCCTCTCATGGATTTAGCTTCAACCCGCTCTCACCTAGACATTCCATCCATGAAGGAGGCCAAGACTGGAGCCTGTGGTGACGACCTCTCTCTACCCATGATTACCCTTTGGGACCAACCCCGGAGGAATGAGGGGAACCAGCTCGAGATCGTACCCCTCACACCTAGGGAAGCTAGGCGGCTGACCAGGACCAAACAGTCTCCTGTGTCAAAGGCAGCAGACAGATCCAACAGGATCAGTAGCGCCATCCCACCTGCATCGAGGTGTGACTGGAGATCATCCACTAGAGCAACCGGAGCTGTCTCTGTCCCAAACCCTGGCTGGAATCCAGATTGGAAGGGATCTCCTTCTCTTCCCCAAAGAATTCCCAGTACAATCTCTCCTTCACATACCAGAAGAAGTTGGCTGTGAGTGTGACCCATGGAAGCTCCTATTGAAATAAATGTTAGAACAAAGTTTGAGTCCCGTGGAACCTTTAAGTTTTATTGAAGGTATGAGCTTCCACCTGCATGCACACTTCCTCAGATACATTGAATTGGAAGGTAGCGGTTCACTGATATACATAGAGGGTGAAGAGCAAATTAGCATACAGCATAATGATGATGTTTTAATTAGTGCAGAAAACTAAACAGGAATAACAAGTTAAGTTTATACGGTCACCATTTGCTTGGATTTTGGGGGAAACACAGTAAATATGTCAAAACAGGAGACTGATTCTGTAAAAGTATCCTTCTTAATTGTGGGATGCTAACAATCATTAACTGAGACCATGTTGTTATGCTACATTTCCTCTCAAGCAGGGAGGTAATTAACAGCATCCTTTCCTTTGAGGTGGGGTAAATGATATGTCTTCTCTGTTACCGGATCAGAGAAATACATTCTGATATTCATTGCATTATATTACAATCCCTATTCCAATATACTATTAAAAAAGAAATTCGCTAAAATAAAGAGAATGTATAGCCCTCCTTGGTGAGAACACATATGTAAGGGCTGAATGAGTTTAGCATATGTAGTGACACAAGAAACCAATATCCTTGTTAAGTCCTGAGGAGGTTTTTGTTCCGAGTGTTGCAATAATTTGTAATCCAGCAATTTCCCTTTCTAGCCTGTTCCTGAAGTCCCTTTGCAATAAAGCAGCTACTTTGAGGTCACCCACTGAATGTTCTGGAAGGCTGAAGTGTCGTTAGTCTCGAAGGTGCCACTGGACGTTGGTTGCATTGAGCCACCAACCTCATCCAAGGAAGAAGGGCGGGGCTGGGTGGGGAGCAGTATCTCCAGACTTATATCATAGAGCCAGTAGCTTGGCCCTCTGCAAGCATGCAGCCGCAACCCCTGAAAAGACCTGTGTTCCAAACATCCTGCAAAAGTCACAATCCCCACTAACTAAAGAGGCCAGAAGATCTGCTAAGAGGTGGCAGAGCTTTGTAAGAGTTCAAGATTCCCGTTATAAAACCAAGCCTTTTCAGAAGCACTCCTAGTCCGAGGCAAGCAAAGCCTGGCTGAACCTTTCCTGAGGCTGCTCTAGCACTAGGGCTTCCAATCCCCAGGCGGGGCCTGGAGATCTCCCAGAATTACAACTGATCTCCAGACTACAGAAGTCAGTTCCCCTGGAGGAAATGGCAGCTTTGGAGGCTGGACTATGTGGCATTACAATCATCCATGCCGAGGTCCCTCGAGCCCCCATGCCCTGCCTTCCCCAAGCTCCACCCTCAAATCTCCAGGAATTTCCCAACCTGGAGCTGGCAACCCAGTTGTAATATCCTTGCCAAGGAGGAAGAGCCTTGTCTTTTAGCTGAGTTCAGGTGGAGAGCGGGAACGATCTATCATCCTTGGCCCATAACACCCTCGTTCCTTCTTCCCAGCATCGTCGGCGTCTCTAGCAAGGACCCGGCGTCAGGTAAGCCGGGTGAACCGGACAGAGCTGGAAGATGGGTTTCTGCGACTTCATGATGAAAACCTACTGCTCAAGGAGTTTGCCCAGAAACAGGAGGACAGGATCAAGAGGTATTCAGGGTGGCAAGGCAGTTCTTCTACGTCCCAGTCTTCATCATAATCGCCAGAGCCTGTTCTTCATCAGGGCCAAATCTCTGAAATCATAGAATCATAGAGTTGGAAGGGACCTTCGGGGTCATCTAGTCCAAACCCCTGCACAATGCAGGAAATTCACAACTACCTCCCCACACACCCCCACCAGTGACCTGTGTTCCCTCTAAGCTGAGTCAGTGCGCGCTAGCTCACAGTTTTTTAGCCTCCGGCTCACCCATTTTTGTGTGAGCTCAGGAAGGAGGGCTCCAGAGCAAACTAATTTATGCAGTGGCCAAATCGCTCACTCACCACTTTAATGCCGGTAGCTCAGAAAGTAGAATTTTTGCTCACAAGACTCCACAGCTTAGAGGGACCATTGCCAGGGACCCCCTCCAGGATCCCTGGTCAGACTGGCCTGGAGAAAATTGCTTCCTGACCCCAAAGGGGCAATCAGCATTTCCCTGGGTGTGTAAGAAGGGGCCACAAGAACTAAGCACTGATACAACCCTTCCTGCCCTCCCTCTCATGATCTGCCTATGTCCACAAAAGTCCATTTTGCATTTGAATGCAAAGGGTTTAATTAGAGCCCCAATTTGGCCCATTACTCTTTTGCCAGAGTTTATTATTTTGTGCCATCCTTGACCGATGGTCTGCTAGGTAGAATCATGAGCTGTCCCTTCAGAGAATACGTTCATTCTTCTCAGTGACGGAAATGAATTTTTAAAAGCATTTGCCCAGGGCATAGCCCTAGAGCAGATTTTAGTTTCAGCGTTGGAATCTGTGAAACAGCAATAAACAAGGGTGCCTCTGAGCATGTACAGAACTAATTTCTCTTATGCTAAATAACAAGAACTTGCCCCGTCCCTGTAGTTTGCAGCAATCCTTTGTCACAGAGTAGCTCAACATCACTACCAGCCTGCTACCAGTTACTGAATTGTGCATAAGATATTCAATCCTGCTCTATAAAACTAGATATTCTACCACGGTAGAGACTGAAGGGTCCTGATCTAGACAGCCCAGCCTATCCCAGCCTCATCAAGTCTGGAGAAGCTAAGCAGCATTGGTCCTGGTCAGTATTTGGGTGGGAGACCAAGAAAGTCCAGGGTTGCTATGTAGAGGCAAGCAGAGTGGCAAAATGCCTCTGTTATTCTCTTCTCTTAAAAACTTGATGATGTCACTATACAGTAGTTGCAACTGACTGTGCTTAAAGGTTAAAGTGCTTAGGGCTCTTTAGCTTGGAGAAACGACGACTGAGGGGTGACATGATCGAGGTTTACAAAATTATGCATGGGATAGAGCAGGTAGGGAA